GCTGTGTCCTCATCGGTGCCGAAGTCATTGCTGTTCATGATATTGAACTTCTCATTCATCCACGACTCCACTTCTGTCGCTTCGGACAACAAGTGTTGCATTTTCAGCGATATCTCCAACAACTTCTTGCGCTCCAAAACCAAACGTTTCAATTGATGCCAACTCTGAGCCAATTGTTTGCACTCATGTTCTATACTCTCTTCGCGGAAGTGCTTCTGTTGGACGAGTTGTTCACCTTTTGTCAGCGTCTTCTGAATCTTCCCCTCGTGTCCGTCCACTTCTCTCTCGAGGTTTTGCTTGTATTTCTTCATCATATTTTGCGCGTCCGTCAGATTGTGTCCAACTGTTGCCGATTTGGCAGAAGGCATGTGCTCTCGGATCCACTGAAGCTCTGCATTGATCTCAAACTCAAACTCATAGAACTTAAACGACTCCAAGAGTTTGAGTCGTCTCTCCTCTAACGGAGTCTTCATTTGTCGCAAACTCTCGTTCACTGAATAACACGACTCCACGATCTTCTGGCCGTCGAAATGGGTTTCCGCCATCTCTTCTCCCTTTCTCATCAACTCTTCCATCTGCTTCTCCCACATCTGAACCTCCACTTCCACTGTGTTGTGCTTTTGGATCAACTCTTTGCAAGATCTCAGATCTGTTCCCATTTGCTTGGAAGTGACACTTTTGTTCAGCTCCTCTAACCTCTGTTTAGCCCTTTCGACGGTCTTATTGTAGTCCAACTGATTGGACGCCTGACGCAAGTGTTGGCCCCGACTCTCCGTCAGACCAAACAACTCGAGCCACTGATCGTTAATGGCTTTGACGAGAGCCTCGATCTCTCGACTGGCAAAGTGTGAGCTCGAGATCAGATCCCTCGCCCTCTGATTGATTGCCGTCAGTCGTGACTGATTTGCGGCCAACTCTGCCTCAAAGGCCTCGTGTTTCTGCACTTTTCTCTCCATATTCTGCAACTCTTTGTACGACTCGTCCGAAGCGGTCTTCTTCTTGTCTGAACACCAACTCTGGAAGTCCTCGGCGTCTGCTCTCAGCTCCTGATAGTTGAGGGCGTCGTTCAGCACTTGTGTCCTCTCGAGTGCCTTCTCTTTGACACAAACCCTGCGTTCAATCACTTGTTTGCGTCGACTCTCTATATTCGGCGAATCGTAATGTTTGGCGTCAATGAGTTTGTCGGCCATATCGCCGAACAAATGCAGTCTTTCGTCTTGAGCTAAGAGAGTGGCGATGAAGTTCTCGTGTCTCTTCTGCAACCCATACACCGACTCCAGGGTCTCTCCCAAAGAGACTTCGCTTTCCAAACGCATTTCACATGATTTCAATAAATATGATATTTTTGTGAATTCGGTGTTGAAAGCGATGAGCTCTTCGTCAATCTCTTCATTTTCGTCTAATTCTGTGATTATTATATCATTTTCCTTGTGATACCTCTCTTCCGGACACTCTTCGATAATTATTTCCCGATTATCATTGAGATGACTATAGTATGAAATTACAAACTAATTATTTTGCACTTAATTATTATGAATATAATACTCGAATAAATACCTGATATTGTTCTCAATAATAGTCTCACTCGTTGTCGCGTCTGTAATGAACTGATGGCTTAAATTAGTGACCATTTGATTGCACGTAGAGTTGATATCTTCAACAGTGGTTAAAGCGTCTTCGAGTTCATTCATCATTAGATTCAATTGATTCCAATCATATCTCATTCTCTTTTGTCTATTTTGCTGTTCAATCGAAAATTCTTGGTTTTGTGCATAACTTTGAGCCGTTCTCTTGATTTGTTTGGATTCTGAATTAGTAGCTATGGGTTGGTCTGAATTGTCTTTGAAAAGTGGTTCCGAACCTATTAAACCTCTTTCGTAGTTCATATTAATGTCAGTCACCAGACGTTTGGTTTCTAAAACCCAATTCTCTAATCCATTGCATTCCTGATTGTATCGCAAAAGTTGAATAAAATCTTTGAGTTTTTTGCGTTTAACACAACACATGTTCAAGAGTTGGAAATAACAAGAGTTTATATTTTCCTGTCTCTGTTCCACACTCTCTGCGTTACATATTATACTCAATCTCTTCTTCTGTGGCGATCGTATCTCAGCGTTTGAATCGTTTGAATTTCTTTCCGATTCGGTCTCATCGGTTGTGCCATTGTTTTGCAAACTTTGCATTTGATTGCAGCCAATCTGTGTCGCCGTCACAAACGAGTCGCCGCTTAAGACAAAAAGTGCAGAAATTCCTGATTTTATCATTTTATTGGATTCCATATTCAATCGTTTAATATCGTTATCAAAGGCACGGATTTCGCTCTCGATTTGTGAATGTCTTCGGAAGAGTGCCAAAGCATTGGTCTCATCCATCACTTCGATGTCTTGTGCGTCAAATAAATTCATTTTCTCCTTAAGCCAGGACTCGACTTCATTCGCCTCTTTGTGGTATTGAAACGCTTCGATCGCATCATTGATTTGTTGACTCTTCTCATCGATTGACTCGTTTAAAGATTTCCATTTCTTTCCTAAACTTTGAATCTTTTGTTTGATTGCATCGCTTTCGGTATGATTGCTATCAATAAGTCTTTTGCCATAATTTATCAGATAATTAATCTTTTTCTCCTGAGTTTTGATATCAATAACGAGGAGCTCGTGTTTGCGCTGAAGATTATGTACTCCTAAAAGATCTTTACTCACGAGAACTGACTGACAAATGCAAAGGCGTTCGCAAATTGTGGTCTCTTCCTCATCGATATCATTGATTAATTGATAATAATCTCTCATTTGGTTGAGACTTATTTTGCGAAGTTTGACCAGTTTTGAGACATTCATGTATTCGTTGTTAAGTGTTTGCAAACTAGTACTCAATTCCGGTGATTCTCTCTTTATTAATTGCATGACTTTGTAATTGGATTCACTTCCAGATATTGAGTCCGAAATAGAGTTTAATTTATCAATCGTTTCCTCTTTGGATGCCATTTGAGATTCAAAAATATTGTGCCGTTCGATGAGTTCTTCGACACCGAATGGTATCTGAATTTGCTTTTTGTTAATAAGATTCAGTCCTTTGGCCATATCTTTGATTTCATTGGCTATGATTTCTGCCTCTCTTAAGGCTAACAACAGTTCAGACGCAGCGGTGAATACGTTTTGATGATTTCTTAACATATCCAACAGTTGTCTCCATTTGTTTGTGATGTGTTTCTCGCAAATCATCACCTCTTCCTTATCATAATAGTTGCCATCAATTAGTTGTCGCGCCATAACTGTTAGTTCATTGAATTTTTCGGTTTGGGCTAAGATATCAGCGCTAATTGTTTTGTGCTTTTTATAGTTGGCCTCAAAGTTGTTGTTTGTTTGGTTGGCATAAATGGGTTCACTTAATATCCTTAGCTTCTCGTTAATGTAGGCCTCTCTCAGTACACACTTTCTCTCGAACCTATTCGCAAGACTTTCCAGTTTTTCTAACCTTAAAAACTCTTGCCTTAAGTAAAGCTGTCGTTTGTTTTCTTCCTTTTCAAGTTCAGTCCATTCCCTTTCAATGTCTTTAACAGTGAGACCTTCGGGTGCTTTATATAACGGATGTCCCAAACTTTTCATTAGAGTTTGTATTTCAAAATGAATGCCTTCACATTCGTTACGTTCCCTAAGTTTCGGTGGCTTTTCAACAGTAATGTATTCTTTGAATTTTATGAGTTCCTGTTGAATGCCCAGTGCGTTGTTGGGTAGGTTTCTGTCCTTCAATTCATTGATTTCGATTTGAATCCAATTTATTAGACTTTTAGTGAAATACTCGTATTTAAGTTGAAGTCTTTCCACATCAATGAGTTGAGTGATTATATTTGCAATTCTTTTGCTGCACTTCATATCACTTTTGATTTTGCTTAACATATGATAAAAACACGACAAATACGTGACAATAGATTTCTCGTCCGCACATTCGTTGTCAAAATCTTCGGCGTCCAGAAGCCGGGGAACGGCTAACTCTCTGGAGGCGACATCGAAGGCTAGATTGAGGTTATAATTATGGTTGTGAGGATGCAAGCGGTCGTATCTAATGAGATCAGGTCTGTGCGCGTGAATCAGTGCATTGAATGCCATTCCCGACCGCCAACTTTGACAACTAAAGTCTGTGACTCTAACGTTAGGATATTTAGCAGTTCGCAATTGACACCATAGGAGAAGCGCTTCTTTGGCTGACTTGACATCAAAAATATTGAATTCATTGAAATTAAGGCTTTGTATTTGAAATCTCAAAATGATTGTCCAAATTAAGCCTAAAATCAATTTTTTGTTTCCGTCCACAATATCCTGTGGGCCTATACTCTCCAAACGAACCTTTTATTTAAATTAAATTTGTTAACAATAATGTATTGAATCAAATGAATCTGTATCGACCTAACCTTAGACTTGACAAAAGTTAAACATTTGCCGACATTATCTAACTTATGGTGCAATTCTCGGCCAGTATTGGGTTTGCCTATACTTTCGCCGCTCACTAATTCTAACAGTTTTAATAACTTTCTTCCATCCGATAGATCAGTGAAAATATCATGAACTTCTTCATTAGCCTTAAGATTGCAATTGATCCGGTTATTGAGATGTATACATAAATTGAGTATTGAAAATAATTTACTTTAATTAGGATAGAGTTAATCCATTTGCGAAATGTCTTGGTTTGTATGGTTTCCCTCTCCTGTTGGAGAACTTTGATCCGTTTCTTCTCATACTTATCGCTGTCATACTTAAAACCGTCCAATTCTTCCTCCCAATCCATTTCAAAGGCATTTAAATCTGAGTTTTGATTAAATTCCAGAAATATTTTTATTTATTCTATTATTTATATAACAGTAATTAATATGAAACAAAAATAAACAAATTTCTATATAAGCATTAGCGTTAGCATTGAATCCAAAACTGACTGAACAGTTACATTACATAGTGATACAGAATTTAGTGCTAAAGAAAACTTACAAATCGATAAAATTTATTGATTTTGACAAAAATACACAAATCTTTGTGGAAACAGATAATTCAAAGCGAATCACAAGAATTAATGGTGTAATAAATAATGTTGAGATGACATTTCAATTATAGTCATTCATTAGAATAGTTTTTTAAAATATATTTATCGCTGCACTAATTGGTTGAATTTTGTCAAGATTTGAGTGCATATAAGTTTCGGTGAACACTTAAAATGGACTTTTTCTCGCATATTAAATGGATTTATTGTTCACTTGTAAGTTGTTATCAAAATCTACACAATTTTGTGATAAACAAAAAATACGAATACATGAGAAGACGTGAATCGTTGGATAATAACTACGGAATGAATTCTCAGTACTAAAAGTAGTGGAAGTGGTGTTTGGTGTACATGTATGTCAAGGTCTCTGTTTCAGTAGTGAACACATTTCAAAACAACTCAATGCAAGCATTGTTTAGAAAGTGGTTTGCGTGGTATTTACAATCTGTGATGTAATCCTCTCTCAACACATGCTCTCTAGACTCCAAGCATCCAAACTCACGTATCCCTCGATTCCGTCTCAATATTCTGCAATACTTTGCACTTGTTTTTCACTGATGTCTGGATTGACAACCATTATAAAGAGGTTTAGATCACTCCTATTTATAGCATCACTTTATTACATCATTGGTTGCTTTAATTTATTCATAATCCTAAATAAATATGAAAATTGTTATGCAACCTTTGTATATAAATAATTTAAAAATCCTTGCACTTTTTAATCCGATTAGTAGCGCTTGAACTTAATTCTTGTCATCAAAATTGCTACAAATTTTAGATTAAGTTCTTAAGCAATCTTTTAGAAAAGGTTAAACATGAATATTTAAAAATAAACAGGGTAGACTAGTCAATTGATTTTAACGATACTATTTAAAATAGATTAAAACTTTGTGTGAAAATATTGAATGAAGTTTCCTCATTATTCAATCTAAAATTAACATGGTAAGACAATCAAATTGGGTTATACCCAAACTTTTACAAACAAATAAAATGAAATTATTTTTTTGTCTGGTATTACATTTGTAAACTTCACTGTTCAGAAATTTGTAGTGTAGTATAAATTCTATAATAAAGAATGTAAGTGTACATAAGATATATGATAGAATTTACATGAAAGAATAATAATTTATTTAGTGTAAAATTCTAAGGAATGTAGAAATGTGTTTAATATTACAAGATTACTTAATATACTGTATATGTATTAATTTGTAATACAGTATATTCTTTATTTGCTAAACATAAATTTAATTATCTGAAACCTTATTTTTTATAGTATATGTGAAAACTCTTAACCTTTTCAAAATTGTTTGCTAAGCCATTAAATATTTTTGTTTTAATTATTTTTAGAAATGATGCACTTTTTGAACGATAGCGACAACCAATTGATTGCAATATATTTAGAACACAATCGAGTTGTCAATGAAAACGAACCCAAATATGAATTAAGCGAAACATTGTTTGCAATAAACGAACCCTTTTTTATGCGATCAGAAAAAGAGGCAATGATTAGAGATATGACTAAAACAAACAGTAAACGCAAGAAAAGACTGCAAAACAAAAAACAAATTTATGAAAACTTATTAACAGAATCGCAGAAACAAACGATTAATAAATTGTATAACGAAGTGAAGCACACAATAAAGCAAACCATGAATACTGAAGACAATAAAAGCGCTCAAGAATTGGCACAAATTGCACTAAACCTCAATAACTTTGATGAATACGCGGATAAACTTTTGTGTAACAATAATAACTTTAGTGTGACTTTTGATGACTTTATTATTCCTGCAAATTGTTCGCTAATGTGTACCGATGTTATCAATGGATTAGATATAATGCGAGAACAATATGTGAAGGGAACATTTAAGGTTTGTGATGAGTTTATAGTAGTTATAGACCCGCCCTACCTGTCCAATAAATCGGTTAAAAGGAAACACTGCTATCAGACAGACGACAACCAGATTGTTTTAGAAATGACTCAACATTTGGCACTTTTGCTGAACTCATTTCCTAAACAAATAAATATTAGATTTTGCATTTGGACTACACTTAAGGAAAAGGATTTTGTTATAAACCAAATGCTACCACTACTTAATTGCAAATGTACTCACATTTTGATTTGGCATAAAATCAGCAGAAGTGGTCAAAGTGTGAAAATACGCGGAAGTCTTGAATATTTAATAATCGCTACGAATAGAGCACTAAATGAAGAGTATTTGGAGGCAATTCTGGTGTCGATTCCAAGTGCTATACATTCACATAAGCCTCCACTCAAACAATTAGTCAATTATTTGTTTAAAGAAAATTGTGTCAAAAGTGACTTAAATAACACCGAAGATATTGTTTCAGATGATAGTGAACTCGATTCTAATAATAAGAATCAGGTCTTAAGTGATTCCGTTTATAAAAGCATAAGTGGTCTTGAATTGTACGCTAGATATTTGAATTCTGGCTTTCATTCAATAGGCTTTGAATGTCTTAAATTACAAAACCATAAATTATATCATTTGTCATAAAATTACAGCATTTTAACATTTAGCTGTTATATAAATAAACACCTCTCTTCATAACGACTTTGTATGATATAATATGTTCAAAATGTATTACTAAAACAGATTTGAATGCATTCTATACCATTACCTGTGTATTGTCTTTAACACAGTATTACAACCATGAAATACATTTGCAATAAGTTATACCAATTTTTACATTATACTTTTTACAGTAAGTTTTTAATTTAAACATTTAACGTAATAAACAAAAGTACTGATTAATTAAATTTAATCAAATTATTCTAAAAATTATACAGTACAATTGAATCTATACTGTTTATAAGTAAAATAAAATTAACTTTTGTTTTAAAATTACAATAGCATTAAATGTAATAAAATATTTTCTACAAATAAAATATATGAAATACTGTACATTTAAAAGACCATATAACTTAATGTGAGATCAGAATTGGATGACCTGGACACTTTGACCCATTGGTACAATTGTTCCGATTCTTGATTCCTAGAATTGCCCACAAGTTGTGTCACGTCTTCAATGAGTGACTCATTGTTTTGGTTTCAAAATGAGATTTCAATGAAACATACATTGAGTGACCCATTGATTGCATACAACGTTATAATGACGTGAATTGAGTTGATTTGCAAACAAACCACACATTAGTTCCCAAAATGAAGACACGATTCTCCACACTAGACATCACTGTTGTGTGCCATGAGTTGAGACAATCACTCTATGGCATGAGAGTGCATCAGATCTATTGCGTGGACAACAAGACATATCTGATACGATTCCACAAAAGCGGTCATCAGAGCGATGGCCAGCCGAAGAGCGGCGACGAGAGCGCCAAAGAAGTGCTTCTCTTGGAATCGGGAGTTCGTCTCCATTCCACTCAATACGAGTGGCCGAAGAGTGTCTCTCCCAACGGGTTTACAATGAAACTGAGGAAACACCTGAAGAATAAGCGCTTGGAAGCGATCACTCAGTTGGGTGTCGACCGCATCGTTGACCTCCAGTTCGGCTCCAATGAGGCCGCGTATCACGTGATCCTTGAGCTCTACGACAGGGGAAACATTGTCATCACTGACTACCAGTACGTTATTCTCAATATTCTTCGGCCCCGAAAGCTGGGAACCGATGAAGACGTGAATCTTGTCGTCAAAGAGAAGTACAGAACCGAAAGCGCGAAGACTTTGAAAGACTATAAGCTATTGGTTGGAAACACTCTGAAGGATGTCTTAGACAAAGCCAAAGATGGCGAAAACCTGAGGAAAGAGTTGAAGAAAGTGTTGAATCCGTATGTGTTTTATGGCACTCACCTAATGGAGCACTCGTTCATCGAAATGGGATTAACAACAGATCTAAAGATAAATAAATCGGATTTGGATTTAAATGTCATCGAAAAGGCGTTAGAGTTGTGTCAGAAAACAATGGATAATATAAAGGATATATCGAAGGGTTATATCATTCAAAGGGAAGAGAAACGAATCGGAGAACCGAACGCATCGGTCATCTCTTATCTTGAATTTCATCCCATTTTATTCAATCAATTCAAAGACAGCAAAGACCAGAAACAGAGTTTCGTCGAAATGGAGTCCTTCGACAAAGCGGTCGATATGTTCTTCTCGAGCATTGAGGGCCAGAAAATTGATGCAAAAGCTCTGAATCAGGAGAAGGAAGCGATGAAGAAGTTGGAGAAAGTGAAGACCGACCACAAGAAGAGAATCGAAGCACTCAATAAACTTCAAGAAGAGGACATCCGAAAGGCAGAGCTCATCGAAAACAATAACTTCTTAGTGGAGAACGCGTTGCTTGTGCTGAGGAGTGCCATCGCTAACCAACTCTCGTGGGAAGACATTCAGGAGATGATAGACAACGCGAGGGCTGAGAATGATTTGATCGCCACTCGTATAACATCTTTAAAGTTAAACAAAAACCACTTCACTATGAGATTGAATGATCCGTACGACGAGTCGAGTGAGTCGGCGGCGCTCGTAGACATTGACATCGATTTGTCTGCCTTTGCAAACGCCCGCAAGTATTACGACAGACGAAGAATTGCCGCCAAAAAAGAGCAAAAGACTGTCGAGAGCTCAGAGAAAGCGTTCAAAAGCGCGGAACACAAGGCTCTGAAGACTCTGAAAGAAGTGGCCGTCAAGACGAGCATAACTAAAGCTCGCAAAGTGTTGTGGTTTGAAAAGTTTCTTTGGTTTATTAGTTCCGATAATTATATAGTAATTGCCGGAAGAGATGCTCAACAGAACGAGTTGATTGTTAAACGATATATGAAAGCACACGACCTCTATGTCCACGCAGACACTCACGGCGCCACTTCTGTGGTCATCAAGAATAGCAATCCTCTGCTACCCATCCCACCGAAGACTCTCAACGAAGCGGGAGAGGCGGCCATCTGTTACAGCGCCGCCTGGGAGGCCAAGACCATCGTCAGTGCCTTTTGGGTTCACCCAAACCAAGTGTCCAAAACTGCGCCCTCAGGCGAGTACTTGACTGTCGGCTCGTTTATGATTAGAGGAAAGAAGAATTACTTACCTCTCAGTCAACTCGTTATGGGCTTTGGGTTTGTGTTTAAATTGGATGACGAGAGCACTGAAAGGCATCGGATTGAGAGGAAAAGAGCCATTTCTATAGATATGGAGTCCGTTTCGACTGCTAATCAAAGTGAGTCCCATATGGAAGAGGATGTTGTGATGAGTGAAAGTGAATCCGAGAACGAAGACACGGCTTTTCCCGACACTAAACCCAAACTCGATCTACAAATTAAAGAGGAAACCAATGAAGTGGCCGTTGATTCCAATGATGACAACGAAACACAAACTATCGTTAAGTCAAAGGAGCCGCGAATTAAGCAAACGAAGCATAAGATTAAACACAATAAAAAATCGCAAAAAGAAGAGAAAAGTGAGAAACAAGTGTTGAATGTTAGCGACAAAAAACAACAACAACTAAAACGCGGGCAGAAATCGAAACTCAAGAAAATAAAAGAGAAATACAAGGATCAGGACGAAGAGGAAAGGAAGCTCCGAATGGCAATACTCGGACACTTGACCGCTAACGATGACAAACAAGTGGACAAAAGGGATGAGAAGGAGACTGAAAATGAGATAACAAGTGATAATCCGAACCATAAGAATGAGATAAAAGACTTATCAGAGAAGTTGACTAAACATCACATTCAGAGCAAACCCGAAGAAAACCTGATTGAGAATAACGACGAACTGGAAGAGGATGAAGAGGAAGAGGCAGAAGCGACTGTCGGACAATCGGATGACGTGAAGATCATCGACACATTGACTGGCGTTCCCCTCAGTGAAGACAATCTGATGTATGCGATACCAGTTTGTGGTCCATATTCTGCTATTAATGGCTATAAATATAAAGTAAAAGTAATGCCCGGAAGCAGTAAACGTGGAAAAGCAGCGAAAACTGCTCTCCAGTTGTTTTTAAGGGACAAAACAGCCTCTCAAAGGGAAAGGGATTTGTTAAAAGTTGTTAAAGATCTCGATATCTCTAAGAATATTCCGGCAAAAGTCAAAATAACTGCTTTGAACCTGAGTTCAGTTAAGGGCAAGAAGTGATGACAACCTATTCATTCATTTGATGGTTATTATCAGTCCATTGCTTCAGTTATTTAAAGTATTTTTCAATAAAATTAAAAATTGATTTCAATTAAATTACTATACTATTTATAGACTAGTTCTGTACTGTATAATACAGGATAAGGTAATGGTAGTCTACAGGTAATTATTACCTGTCAGGTATATTGTATTAAAACTACTGTAAATATAAGCGTAATTTAAGTAAACGATTAAATTTGTGATAAAATTTGAGTTATTAATAATAATAATATATTATTATTTATGAAAATGACTTTATTATGTGATATATAGACAAAAATGGTGATTTAAATTGATATGAAATGAGATTAATTAGTGTTTGAAATGAGCGCCAAATGGGTGAAGGACTTAATGGACGACTGATTGGATGAATGAGTGAATCGATGCGTATTTGTATTGAATTGAATTGAATGTCATTTTATAGTGTTTTACAGTTATATCTCAATTAGACATCAATTAATCAATTAATCAATCAATCGATTGGTTTTGTTTTGAATCTCTTGTCAATACTTTCCACTCATTTATTCACTGAATTGCATGAAATGGGGAACAAATCATCACTTATGCTTCAAAATGAAGAGATTATTGCCATTCAAACGGAAACCGGATGTAAGACAAGTGTCCTCAAGACATGACCATTGATATGATATATGCATTGATGACTAATCCATGTCTTTGCCCAACAGTCAGTCCGTCGCAAATCGAGAGACTGTACAGTCGTTTCACGAGTTTAGACAAAGGAGACAACGGCTCCCTTTCGCGCGAAGACTTCCTCCGCATCCCTGAGTTGGCCATCAATCCATTGGGCGATCGTATAGTTCAGGCCTTCTTCGCCCAAAACGATGGCTACGAAGAGAGGATTAATTTCCGGCAATTTATGCGCGTATTGTCGCGATTCCGACCGATTAAGAAGAATAGGGAAAACAAACTCAATTCACGTGAAGACAAACTGAGATTTGCGTTCAAAATGTATGACTTGGACGACGACCAGAAGATCTCGCGCGAAGAGCTGTTGGCAGTCCTGCATATGATGGTGGGCTCCAACATCTCGACGGAACAGTTGTCTAATATCGCCGACCGGACTATCATGGAGGCCGACAAAGACGGCGACCAATGCATCACTTTTGAGGAGTTCTGCACCACTTTGGAGCGCACAGACGTCGAGGAGAAGATGTCCATCAGATTCCTTCATTGATCCCTACTTTCAGTGCATTTCTTAGGTTTTATTCTCTAATATATAATGAGATTATGTTTTCTCTTTTAGACACTTAATTAGCTTTTATTTACCGGTTATTGTATTTTCTATTGATTTTATACACGGGATACCAATAATTTTAGATGTTTTGCACAAAACCCTCTCTTTGATTGTTATTTGATATATAAATATAGCATTATTTACAGACAAACGCTATAAAACATTGTTATTAATCCAATTGTTATTTAAATATAAATATTTTAAATTTATTACTCACTAAATATTCGTTAAAAGAGTTGTTTGTATTTTAGATAATTGAGAGACTAATCATTGTTATCGAATAAAATGCAAACAAAACTTTTGCTAATATTTCCGAGAAATTATTGATATAAAAAATTACAAATATTTTCCCAAGTTTTTATTATATTTTATTACAAAAATTGTCGTTAAAGTTGTGATAAATAAAGTGTTTATTTTGTTTTAATCTCATATAAATTCCGTTAATTCTGATAAACTATTTGCGATATATAAATGTCTAAATGTTGTTGAATGTAATGAATGTCAAACACATATGAATGATTGCAGTAATACTCAGGTAACCAACGAACGGCACATACACACCGGCACTGCAATCCTATTTCATGTCAAATAAAACGTTGAATTAATTTGCTTTAAACCGTTGTTTGGAATTTGGGTCTCATTTTTGACATCTTTTCGATTGAATTAAATGAAAAATATTTTCAATTTTTGTCAAAACATTTCGCATTGAATAATGTTTAGTATAGATTCACCCGAATGGCATTTATTACAAAAACACTTTTATATATGAATCTATTGTCTAATTTATTTATAATTGAGGAAATAAAGCATTGTTTTTATTTGTATAATAGATGTAAATAAATTTGGTGACTAATAGTGACAGTTATTAGCTAGTAGAATTTCATTGCAAGTTCTTAGAATTTGATTTCAACACAAGTTTTATCATTACCATTTGTAACTTATAATAAAAGTTAAATTTAGACAATTATAATAAATATATTGTATTTATTTTAGTAGTTTTTTTTATCAAATAATAGTGTATTTGTTTCAAATCATTGATTCAATGAATGAATTCAGTTTACGTTATGTACAGCACATGATAAAATTAAGTCATTTGTTTGTTTAAAGTTTTTTAATGGAAAATAACAATAGATATGATTCCTATCATAGGAATAATTTTAATTTAATTGTATTTAATTTCAAAATAACTTTAATAATAAAATACAATAATTCATAATTCATAACTCACAACACATTAAATATTAATTTAGTTTATCGGAACAATTGTACCAATGGGTCAAAGTGTCCAGGTCATCCAATTCTGATCTCACATTAAGTTATATGGTCTTTTAAATGTACAGTATTTCATATATTTTATTTGTAGAAAATATTTTATTACATTTAATGCTATTGTAATTTTAAAACAAAAGTTAATTTTATTTTACTTATAAACAGTATAGATTCAATTGTACAGTATAATTTTTAGAATAATTTGATTAAATTTAATTAATCAGTACTTTTGTGTATTACGTTAAATGTTTAAATTAAAAACTTACTGTAAAAAGTATAATGTAAAAATTGGTATAACATATTGCAAATGTATTGCATGATTGTAATACTGTGTTAAAGACAATACACAGGTATAGGTATAGAATGCTTTCAAATCTGTTTTAGTAATACATTTTGAACATATCATACAAAGTCGTTATGAAAAGGTGTTTATTTATATAACAGCTAAATGTTAAAATGCTGTAATTTTATGACAAATGATATAATTTATGGTTTTGTAATTTAAGACATTCAAAGCCTATTGAATGAAAGCCAGAATTCAAATATCTAG